TAGTAGTAGTAGTAGTACTAAGACTAGTACTAGTACTAGTACTAGTCTTAGTACTACTACTACTACTAATAATACTACTACTACTACTACTACGACTACTACTACTACTATTACTACTACAAACACTACTACTGCTATTACTGCTACTAATGCTGGTTGTAGTTGTTGTCCTTGTTGTTGCTGTCGTCGTAGTAGTAGTACTACTAGTAGCAGTAGCACTAGTACTAGTACTAGTAGTAGATGTACTCAGAGTAGTAGTGCTACTAGTAGTTGTTTTCCGAGTCGTAGTAGTACTACTGTTTTGTTGTTGGCTGCCGTATAGTAGACGTTCTTCTACCTGAATTGGACTTCTAAAGCCACTGCTACGACTATTCCTACGGACTGCTACTACTAGTACTTACTGTTACTTACTACTACGACGACGACTAGTGCTGGTAGTATTGGTACTAAGATTATGATTAGTAGTCTTATTCTTCAAACTCTTATGCTTATTGTTCTTCTGATTTCCTACTACGACTACTAGTGCTAGGACCGCTCCTCGTACTACCACTAGGACTGCTCTTAGGACTACTTCTCCTTCTGCAACTGGTATTGCTACTGCTATTTGCGGTCTAAGCCTACGGCACTGGGCCTGTGCAGGCTTGCCCCCTGTGACAGAATGGAGCCTCGGTTGCAGGAAAGGCCCTGCAACGTAATCTACAGAGCCTCTTTCAGGCATATATGTACGAGGCCTGTTGCGGGCACGAAGATGCGGCTGGGAAAGCCTGTAGCAGGCACAAAAAAAAAGGTGCACATAGCCTGTTGCAGGCATCTAGTGCAAGAACTCCCGCCAGATCTTCTGGACCTTCTCGAACTCCCCGGAGTCCAGCTCGTCCCCCACGAACATGAGCTGCTGCAGGGCCCCGTGGGTGCGTCCGCGGCACCTGATGATCATGCAGCCTTCCTCGCGCTCCTGGACCCCATCGTACAGCGGCTGCAGCGACGAGTAGGGCACGATCTCGTCGTCCGTAGAGCTGACGATGTCTCGGCTGTGTGTATTTAGGGTTTAGGAAAGAGGCTTGAGGCTGTACGGTTTAGTGTTTATTCCCGGGGTACAAGTCAAGGCTTTCAGCATTGAGGGTTCAAAGTGCGGGTTAAGGGGCGGGTCTTGGGCTTCGGTCAACCCTGAAGCCTAAAGCCTAAACCCCTAACCCAAAACCCTGAACCCCTAAACCCTAAACTAAAGCTTGGGAAAAAAATGCCAAGCTTCGCAACCCTTGTAAGGAGCCAAGCTTCACATGCTGCCCCGAAGCTTCGCAGCGTTTCGCTGCACTTCCTCGGAGCTCAGCCCAGCCTCTGGGTACAGCCCCACTGCCAGCAGCCGGTCTGCGAGGAGGCCAGTGTAGAGCACGCTCGTCCACGGAACCTTCTGTCCAGAAAATCCAGAACCCCTCGCTACCCAAAGCCTTAGACCCTAAACCGTTAACCCTGGAGCCCCCTAAACCGTTAACCCTGGAGCCCTCGTGCCTATTTCCCTAAGGCTTGAATCTTTAAAGCCCTCAAGCGGTCCTCGGGATCATGCCTCCACAGCAGCTCCACGGGCTCGCACCTCTGGCACATCTGCGCAGCCCAGAACGCGCAGCGCGAGAAGCCCGCCACGCAGAACGGCACAGCCTGTACCAGGCACGACGCCTCCAGAAGAAATGCAAAGAGCCACCGTGGGGGTTTGGTGCCGTACGCCTTGGACGACCTGATCTGGTTCATAGCTGGACGCACGATGGCACAACCCTGCTGTAGCAGCCACTCCATCACCCTCCCTTCCAGCCCCGCCGAAGTGCTGAAATAGCACAGCACGTGGCTCACCTGACCAGCAAGAGTCGAAACACCAGACCCAAAGCCTTGGACCCTTAACCCTAAGGCCTTGAATCCTTAAAGCTAGAGCCCTGAGCCCTAAAGCCCCAAAGCCCTAGAGGCCTGAACCATAACCTAAAGCCCTGCAGCCCTGAACTCTAGACTCCATAGAGTCAAAAAAAAAGGAAAAAAATGTCCCGGACCTCCCCCGAAGGGAGATTCACCATGTACTCGGCAGTGACCTTGGAGGGCTTACCATCCTTGAAGAAGAAGGTCACGCTGTGCAAGCCCTCCGTCAGCTCCAGGCCCACCTGCCAGGAATAAAGGGGCATGAAGCCAATGAAGGATTGACGTTTATGACGAAGGTCCAAATGGGCCCTTCGACTCTGAATCCCACGGGCTCGGAGGATTTAGGCAGTGATACTACGGTCCTGTTCTTACCCTGCCTCGGAAGTCTCAGCCACCGCCGGCAGAAATCTGCCCTTCTTCGCAGAAGGGCCTTGGCTAGAAGCAGCCTCCTCCAACGGCCCAGTGCCAGTGTCACCAGAGGCTGTTTCAGCCACAACATCCACCGTCTGAGCCTCCGAAGGCTGCTGCCACTCCAAGGCAAGCAGGCTCCTCTCCACGGTGCCTGACGGGATTATCTTCAAAGTCTGGGGCCAGGCTTGGGTGATTCAAGATACAAAGAAGGATTTCCACCAGGGACCTGTGGCTGTCATGAAGGCCTCCCGCACGCGAGCCACCTGCTCCGGCGTCAGCTTCTCCTCGAACATTTCCTGCATGCAGTGCTTCGGGGAAGTGAAGAACCACGGGCGGATGCGAGCCCTTGGGTCGTCGTCCAAAAAGAGAAAAGCCATAAATGACTAAAAAGTCGATCAGAAGAATAATATAACGTATGTTGCCAAGGGTCTCAGCACTAAGGAAGGTCGCCACCAGAGCAGCTGCTCCTTTCGAGACCTCCAGCACGGTCAGCACCGGCTCGCGGCCCTTCTCCTCGAAGTACTTGGAGTAGCTGCCCCAGCTTGCGTTCTCCTGAGGATTAAAGAAAGCCACCACACATCATATTTATGTCTATATATACATGTACCCTAAATCCCTAACCCTAGTTCACAACCTGGGTTTATAGTAGGGTTTCAGGTGCACCAAAATGCAGAAATGATTCCGCCACCCATGCATTAATGTCGAGGACTTCACCAGCCGCGAGCAACTCCCGAGACTTCTGCAGCTCGCTGGCCCGCGAGCGCA